TTTAATTACGCTAATAATGCACGACGTGCGTTACACGTAAATAAATTTAAATAATATTTTTTTTTATAAAAATTGTAAATTATATGTGTATTAAATTAATAATAAATTAGAAGTTAAATAATTAATATATTTTAATTATTACTAAATTCAATTATTAATTTATTCAATAAAACTTTGAGTACCTAATTTATCATTTATTTAGGTATCTCTTCGACTTTTTTAGGCATTTGCACACTAATTATATTATAAAATTATTATTTTTTATTTTTTAAAATAGATTGATTAGATCGTTCATAATACTAATATATTATTGTATACCAAAAAAACTATAATATATATTTGATCATGAAATTCAATCTGATAATTACATTTGTATAATAATTTAACACACACACACACACACATATATATATGATTTTATTTTTTCACATAGATATAAAAAATTATATGTAACTGTATTACTAATAAATAAATTCAAAAAAATTTAGAAGTTCTTATAAAAGAGTCTAAAAAAAATTGAAAGTTAAATAGGAGAAAAAAAAATAAAAATTTGATGAAAGTATATATATTAGTGGGTATAATTGACTTTATTATAAGGTTAAAATAAGAAATCAAAGGGTTTTCAGAGATGATGACATTTATAAGTAGTATAAATAATGTTGATCAATATTTGTTTAATGTCGTGTAACCTTAATTCTAAGGGTAGTTCAAGTAGTAATAGGGACAAATTATAAATTCAGACGTTTTGAGTTCGAATCTTGATAACTTTTTAGAGGTAGATTATAATGAATTTATCCTTCATAAATATTCTAATCTTGACGTGGATGACTTGCTCTTGACCGAACTGAGGAGTAAATTAATCGATATACGCATAAATTTGTCCAAACACCACCAACCATTGAACAAAAAAAAAATGTTGTGTGCATTCCTGTTTTACATGTATATAAAAAAAATTCCATATCTCAAATGATTTTACAAGTAGATCCTACGATCCAAAAATATTGTAATATCTAACCATATTAGAGCATCTCTAATAGATGAGCTAAATGCCGCAAAATCTTTAAATTCTAGTTATTTAACCTAAAAATTTCATTTCAACAGATTATCTTCAAAACATTTAAAATAACATTTTGTTACAGTAATACTCTATATTTAGAGTATCAGTGTAGCGATATGTAACCTTAATTTTCTTTCTTTTTTCTTTCACTATTTTCAAAAAAAATAATATAAAAGGAATAAGAAATAATATTTAAAAAGAATAGTAAAAAATATAGAAGTGTATATTTAAAAAGTGAATAGTTAAAATAAAAAATATTATTTTTTGAGTACCTGAAATAAGATGCCATTATTGACACTGTTCACTAAAAAAGCCTTGAGCATTGCACCCGAAGGCTTATTTTTTTTTAATCCCATTCTCTTTTAGAATATATTGACCGCGACCTTAGCAATATAAACAAATCATTAATCAAGGAAAGCTTGTAGTATGAGTATTGTTATTGTGAGCTAAAAAATTGATCTAAATTGTTGATATAAAATAAAAAATAATGGAGTCCTAATGAAGAAATCTAAGAGTTGTAGTCATAACAATAATATTAGATCACGTTACTACCATATTATTAAATCAACAAATTAAGTTCTAATAACAGTACTCAATTGCGGAGTTTCAGACTATGCCACAGTAAATATTGAATAATTGAAACTTAAGGGGCACTAATTTTTCCACTTCTTTAAAGTTGGCTATCATGGACAACCATTCCTTAAACATTGCCAGCTTCTTCCCTCTCAATGGATATCGTCTGATGTATCAGGTAAGAGTAATGTTATTTGAACATAAAAATTAAATTTAATTTACTAATTTAATGATGTGAAATTCCACCCTAAGCAAATTCCTTATGAAAGGTGATCAATATTAAACTGCCCACCTTTTTTTTTCCGTGTATTATACATGATTAGTAGAGGGAATCATCGAAAAGAGCCCACAGTTATATGTATAGAAATGCCATATGTGGTCAACTAAGTTTTTCCACTTAAACAATCCAACGGTCCACATAATATTATCTTCCCCTAATTATTGCTCAAACATTATTCTAAACAACCACCCAACCAATTAACCAAACAAAAAATGGTCTAAATAAGGAAGGCTGCTTTGTTGTTTTTTTTTTTGGTTTAACGGTTAAGGGTGTCTCAATCAGTTTATGCATATTTTGACTAATTTTTTCTTTTGTCAAGTCAAAGATAGAACATTTACACTGAAACTAGGATATTTATAAAAGGTAACTCTCTCATGACCTGATTCAAAAAATTACTAAGATTCGAATTCAAGACGTTTTAATTTAAAATTCGTCATTGTTGAATTAACTTTGTCCTAAAGACCTTCCTCTAATTATGCACCTCGGAGTGCTTTGGCTACATACAGTTACCACGGATTCATCTATCATAATTATGTCCAGACCCAAAAAAGAAAAGCTATATAATTATGTCGGGAAAGAAAGAGACCTAATCTTCGATCCATATCTTGAACCTTTACGATCACTATTCTCGCTACTGAATCGAAGTTGAGATAAGTTTTATGATTTAAATATATGAAGTTAAGGTTACAATGAAATAATCTTATGGAAAAGATAGAGATCATAGACATTGCACAATGAACTTACTTACAAACCTTGAGGAGCAACAATGGGAAACTAACTTACCGAAAAAATAAAAAAAACAATGGGAAACTACATGGAACTGGAGAACCCTCCACAACAGTTAGGAAGTTTCCTCAATTCAGTTTTTTATTTTTTATTTTTATTATAAATTGTCTAAATTTGCACCGACGACTATTCGGAATTTAGTTAGTGTTTCTTTTGCTAGAAAGTTTATTTAATGTTTTACCATTGAACTTCTCTGTCATAAGCTGTACTATTACCAAAATCAAATGACCAGCTTGCTAAATTCGGTAGTACAAGTGTCAATGCACTACAGCTAATTCTTTTGGCACAATCCGAAACTGGTTATGTTGACCCCCCCCGACAAAAAAAAAAAAAAAAAAAAAACCCACAACCCCAACCCCACCCCCAACAAACTATCTGCTTATTTAAAGCAAAACAGATATTATTCCTAGCAGCCAGTCTGGCTCACAGGTGTGAGATCAATCTTCGAGATGTGAACGAAATCTGCTGTTTCATTAAACAAAGACATTTAACACAATTATTAAGACAAGGGTATGCATGAGTGTAGGCAATAACAAAAGGAAAATGCAATCATATTACGATTTAATACTTTGATCTAATATCATTTCAATTAAATGCTAATAAAACTGTTCTTAGCAAAAATGAACCATAGTATTGCATGCATTGAAGCTTATTGGATGAAACCAACCTGGCAACCTTTTTATCTGAAAGATTCCAGTGGAAAGTTGAGACAAAGTAGGCTTGCTCATAAACTTTGGGGCAGCTGCTTCCTTGCAACATCGTGACCACCACTTCGAAACATTTGTAAAAACATGTCAATGCATACAAATCCAGAGTCATACTTTAATCTGAGAGATTTGTTTAGTTTCCGTACAATTTTAAGTTGCTGCATTTCACAATAAAACAAAGGAGAAAAAGCACTCATGCATCTCCTATAACTATAGTTGGAAAATGAATATGATGTCTGATCTGATAGATTCTTGTTACTATCTTACCAATATCTTACACTATATTGTATATGTTGAAGCTAGCATATGGGACTTTACAAGAATCATCTCTTGCCATATTGGTTTATTGGTATATTCGAGTAAATATGTTAATTAATATATTCCAAAAATCATGCTTAGAGATATGTGGTTATTGTTGTCTAATTAAAGTGATTCGTTATTTCGTTTTCTTCATTGATTATGGTCCCTTCTAGAACACTTTTACTTCTAAATCATCCACCGTGAATTAATTGGGGATGCACTCATATAAAACATGTCCTATTTATGCTTATTGTGGATTATCTACCATTAAAAGAAATTCAGTGGAAGTAATTGTAGGGAATTCAAGTCCTTTATTCAGATATTGTTGCTTGTTTGTGGCATAGCTGATCCTTCTTGGTCGTTTTGTAGTTCCTAGATTCTTGGGGTAGCTCTCACTATATGCTTGTGTAAGTGGATCCAAAACTGGGTGGATCTAAATGTCTCTGCTTCTGAGCAGATTCGAGCTTGGATATCTGAGCCCATGTGGAAAGATTTTATGGGGACAAATTTACAGGTAAATTGATGAATAAAGCTGCTAGTGGAAGCATAGGAATCCAATCTATATAACGTGTGGGAAAAGAGGACAAAATAGGAGATTTTATCAATTAAATCCAACGTAGATCGTTGGTGGATGTTCTTATCATATTCATGAAGATTGGATGACCAAATCTGGGGTTGTTGACCAGCAAAAGATTGAACGGAGGTGGTTGAAAATTAACTGGTTCTCCGGGAACATGGTGACTGTACTTTTTTCTTTATTGATGAATAAACTGGTTCTCCGGGAACATGGTGAATATTTCACATTATTGATGCAGTTTTCTGAATATGTAGTATAAACATGGGTTAACGCAAAGCCACAAGAACATGTGAATGTACTTTTTTCTTTTGATTTGATGGAGTTTTGACTTATTACAATATGTACTAGTGGAATTGTTTAGACATATTATTCATAAACTTTTTGCAATCTAGAATATTAGGGATTTATGTAATGTTCTTAGTAGACAACATAAGAGATTTAGTACTGAAATATAATTTTTTGATAGCAGAGTTGAACAGTAAAAAATTATTATCAAGTTATTCTAAAATTTAAGTTCATGGAAAAGTGAAAGGCAAGCAGGTCCTTGAGGGACAAGCGACGTTTAGAGTGAGGGACATTGCCTAGGAAGTTGCCTCGAATTGGAGAATCTCACAAGTCACGCCCTATAGAAAACGCCACTCATCTAATGCGTCCACTGCCTATAAATATATATCTCTCCTCTCCTCTTCTATCAATAACTACATTTCCTTGTTAGCTCTCTCTCTCTCTCTTTCTCTCTCTTCAGGTATTTCTTTCTCTGTGTTCTCTCATTCCAGTTGTCATGCCTGCTCAAGTGGTGTCTGAGAAAACCTACCAAGGGATTCACATCTTGGGAAAAGAAAGCAATCCTCCCACCCCTAAAAGGTACAAGCATCTTCACATCTCTCTTTCATGGTTACAAACTACCCCAACAGCCATATCAATCTATTTTTTTTATACTTTTCATTAGAGGCAGTGTATAAAACATTCATTAGAAAATGCCCTTGTCTATGTTTACACTTTGATTAGAGACTAAATCACTAACTCTAAAGAGATGAGTTTTGCAGGAGACTGCTTGCTGCCAGCATTATTGAATTAATGAACCTATAAGTAACAATTACTTAAACTATTTGAGATCCCTTTTGTTTAAGGCTTTACTTTGTTCTGCATCATAGATTCATAATGGGTTTCGGACTTTATATTGTGCTTTTTTTTTTATCTGACTTTATATTGTACTTTACTGATACTTAGTTGCTATTTTACAGGTTGGAGGGAAAGATTGCAATTGTGACTGGTGGCGCTAGAGGGATTGGAGAGGCAACAGTGAGACTCTTTGCAAGCCATGGTGCTAAAGTAGTGATTGCTGATGTTGAGGATACCCTTGGAACTGCGCTTGCCAACTCATTGTCTCCTTGTGCAACCTTTTTTCATTGTGATGTTAGCCTGGAAGAACATATTAAGAACTTGATTGCCTCCACGATTCTTCGATATGGGCGTCTTGATATCCTCTTCAACAATGCTGGGGTGCTTGGCAATCAATCTAAGCATAAAAGCATAGTTAATTTTGATGTGGATGAGTTCGATCGTGTTATGCGTGTCAACACGAGAGGTGTGGCACTAGGAATGAAGCACGCAGCGCGTGTGATGATCCCTAGAGGAGCTGGGTGTATCATTTCCACGGCCAGTGTTGCCGGAGTGATGGGAGGGCTCGGTCCGCACGCTTATACTGCTTCAAAGCACGCCATTGTTGGGCTAACAAAGAACACAGCTTGCGAGCTTGGGAGGTATGGAATTAGAGTGAACTGCATTTCACCATTTGGGGTGGCCACATCAATGCTTGTTAATGCATGGAGGAGCAGTGATGGAGAAGAAGAAGAAGAGGAATGTATGAATTTCGGGTTACCTTGCGAGAAGGAAGTGGAGAAGATGGAGGAGTTTGTGAGAGGGTTGGCCAACTTGAAATCCCAAACCCTAAGGGGTAGAGATATAGCTGAAGCTGCTCTATATCTTGCTAGTGATGAATCTAAATATGTAAGTGGTCATAACCTTGTTGTTGATGGTGGCATCACCACATCAAGGAATTGTGTAGGATTGTAACAAATGTTAAAGTGTGCAAACATGCTGTCTTTGCTCAAAATGAGTGCATATCAATGTAATCATAGTTATTCCATATCTCTATTCGAATATCAAATAGAAATATTTTTTCTTTTGTATAGCCAGTCATTTTGGTAATCCAGAGATGCATTTGAAGAGTAAAATTTAATCAAATAAAACAATATCGATGATAAAGTATGACATATGACCTCAAATTCTTATGTGAGCTTAAAATTTGCATTATAGTATGTTATAAAAAGAAAAGACAATAGACAGAGGTATTGAATGTTGAAAAAAGAGAAGGAATAAGAAATTGTCAATAATGACTTCTTTGTTGGCAAAACGAATAGCTAAATAGCGTCAATTATTCTCCAAATTGATCTAAATTTTCAACGGCTCGAAAAATTGGTTGAAATAGATGATAACACCCTTTTCATAGTACAAGCCTTTTAAAACTTAAATTACATACTTTTACCATGTACACACGCCAATGTTTATTCAAATCTAGAATAGTGAGGTGAACCAAATTTCAAAGCATGATACTCATTCTTCATTGTCCATGCTGCAAATCTTAGTAGAGAACATCAAAAAAAGATTTGACTTTAATTACACGGACAAGGTCACATTTCAGGGACCAAATGTCCTTGTTAATTAGCTGTTACGGAAAGTTTACAAAATTTTCAGGTCAAAGAGGGCTGCTTGTGGATTTTTTTTAATATATATATATATATATATATATATATATATATATATATATATATTCAATAATGCTATGCTGATTAAATTTTGGGATTAAATTAAAGTTCAAATGACATGACAACATATTATTTGAAATTTTTATTGGGGGTCAAATGACATGGCACCAAATAAATAAGCCCAAGTCAGCTGTCATGTCATTTAGGCTCTTAATTTGGTCAATATAACATTACTGATACTTCATCTATCACTAAATATCTGTCGTTTAAGGTTTTTGCACAGGGATTAAGGAAGCTTATTAAATAGCTCTATTATGAGCAAAAAATAATTTTACAAGACTAAAATACCCTTATTCAATACGTATTGAGACGGAAAAGAATATAAAAGACACTTAACTTATACTTAGTCTATTAAGCATTTATTGAAAAATAGAGATAATGGTAAATTTGAAAGAAAAAATATTTATTATGCTTTAATTTCATAGAATGATAAATATTATGAAATAAAAAAAATTATGTAAAACGACATATATTTAAAAACGAAAGTGTATATTTTTTGACTTATGTATAGTTGAATTCCTTGACGTAGTGAGGTTTCCAACATCTCCGCCTTGACTTTTCTAAATATTACCACTGTTTTTTGGAAGGAAACTCTACACTACTGAAAATAAAATTCGGTGGTAGCGTACAGTCCGTTATAATTTTTTTTTATAAAATTATACATCGAAAAAAGATGTTATAATTGTTTAAGAAAGGTCATGATCAATCACAGACATCTTTGATCGATCATGATCTTACTTTGGACAGTTATAACTTCTTCTTTAAAAGTTGTAACCTACCCTTTAATGTTCCATTAGGTACGATAAAAAAATGAAATGATAAAAAATTGAAAAGATAGAAAGTTTGAAGGATAAATAGAGTATTATGTTTGGTAAAAAAAAAAAATAAGAAGGATTGATAAAAAAGAAAAATAAGAAGGATGAAAAAGTGAATGGATGAGCTTTCCTTTCAACTCACCAAAATCAATCCCTCTAAAATTAGAAAGAAAATAGATGAAAAATTAATTATTTGTGTTGAAATATATCTTATTTGTTTATATATCATTTAATATATTCATATATTAATATAATGATAAAATATATATTTATATTTTTTTTAAAAAAAAATTAAAATTAAAAATTAGAAATACAATTTTTCCATCTTACCAATCAAAAAAAAAAAAAAATTAATTTTCATTTTTCATTTGTCCTACCAAATATAAAAGGAAAGAAAGTGTATTATTTCTACTTTCTTTCCTTGAAAGATAGAAAGTGTATCCCTCCTATTTTCTATCTCTCATACTTTTCATCTTTCTTATTAAACGGAACATTATAGTTGTAACTTCGATATTAATTCTAACCTCCTATGATGGTTCATATTTTTTAAAAATTATAACTTATACCTCAAAAAAAATAATAAATTAACTTAAAAAAATTTTCAGTACGTCGGTGATACTGTAGACTTTTCCATGAGCAAATGTCAAAGTCAAACTTTCTAAGGCTGCTGGCTGTTTGGAACCAGTACAGACCCCATATGCTCACCAAAAATGATGAGGAATCAAAGTCATCCTAGAAAACTCCAATAGTCTGTCTACGGACGTCGACACTTTTTTTTCTTTTGGTAGGTGGGAGTGGGACGTCAATACTTTTTTTCCATAAGAATTGCAACCCTAGAAATGACCATGGCTGCTTAGTTGGTAAGCAATGGTGGCCATCCTATAAAAAATTGTCTATACTTGAAATTGAAAATGACTTTTTCTGGTCAGCAGAGTAAAATATATTCAAAATGGGACGGGTAAAAAAAGCTGTAGTGGTCCCAACGTTGTATAAATTCTTTCTTTATCAACCAATGCCATGGTGGCCCACGGATTCTCGAGGAGCAAGATGACTACGTAAAAAAAACAAAGGGCATAGCCCTAGTAACCCGGACTCAATGTTTTTTGTTTCAATAATGATATGAGTATCATCTTTCTACGCTACCCCATCTTTACTATCTCGTGACATTTGTGCGGTGAGCATAGTAGCCCCTTGGACATGCTCCTTGTACAATCAAGCGAAGAGCCAGTAAGATCCAGAATAAATTATTGTATATATATTATTTAATTGGATCTGTAGTTTTTTATTATGGTTGGAACATACGATGATCGAGTGACCACAAGCACTCGAGATGCAATTAGGTTAAAACAATGTTTATCATGTGACTGAGCAAAAGTGTACCTCATTTTAGATAGGAGCAAAATGAATGACTTACAACTGAAAGTCAGTTCTCGAGTTGATATATCGTACGATATAATAGAGATGTTCCTAATTATTGAATATCTAATAATTTATATTGAGATAATGCACAAAAATAATGTAAAAATGTGATAAATATGGCATTGTCGAACCGTAACTTGAACTTATTACATCAAAATGATGTAATAAGTTAAATAATTTTCATTGTTTGTTGCAAAATTACTTTCAAATCTCTTTTGCGAGTATTACAAATATTGAATATCAAATTCCGGGACTTAAAATCTTTTAATTATTGGGTTAACACGGCAGGACAGGACAGGACTCAAACATTGAACAAAAAGAGTAGAGGACAAAAAACCATGCCCAGTTTCAATCCTTTCAATGAATTATTGTATGTACACAGTACACTCAATACATTTTGATATGTGGGCTTAGTTCAGGAGACTGTCCCAAACTCTACATATGAACTACGAGTGGCACCTAGCTGGATCCAACTGCTATCTTTAAATTCACGACTGCCTGTAAATCGTCGCTCGGGTTAGGTTAGATTTGGACTTTGGAATAAAGATTAGCATGTATGATGAAGGGAAAGTCTACGGCATCGGGAAAAAAAAGTCAGTAGTGAATTGTCGATTACAAATTTTTATAGTAAAGTAAAATTTTTGAAAGAAAAAAATTACAATTGTTGAAGGAAAGACAATGATCAATCACATATGCTCATGATCGATTATGAGTTTTCCTTCAACAATTGTAACTTCTTCATTATGAATTGTAAGTGACTTTTAAAAATTTTTACTTTATTTTGAAAATGTAACTTTTGTGTCGATCTCACACCTTATTTGTAACTTCATCGTACATAAGGCAATTTAAAGAAATTTCCAAACCCTAAAACTTTTTTCAAGACAATCCTAAATCCGTAAGTATAAGAAAGTTTCTAAAAACAACAAAATAACATGTTGACAACTCTTTGAAAAAAGAGTAATGCAACTAATATTATTTCATTTATTTTTAAGATCTTCTTCTAATATTAATCTTTTGTTTAATATTCTGTAATCAATTTGCTTATATCCTTAATATTCCAAGAGATAAATCTTCAAATAAAAGAAAACTTATTCTAAATCATATAAGAAAAGAAGAAAATTCCATAAAAGGAATTATGACAAGGAAAAAATTAATAAACCCACTAAAAAACTTAAAGCAAAGGATAAGAAGCCTATTAAATGATTTAAATGTGAAAAATTAGGACATATTGCTTCTAAATGTTTAACAAAACAGAAAATAAATGAATTAATATTAGAAGAAGATCTTAAAGATAAAATTTTAAAAATAGTTTTAAATTCAGAAAGTGATGAAAGAGAATCTTCTTCAGAATAATTTTCTAAGGAAGAATTATGTAGTATTAATGAAATAAATTGCAATTCATCATCTGATGAAGATCAATTAAAACAAGATAACTTGTTCGTCACACTGCCAAGTACAAACTAATTATTATAAAACTATTTTAGACATGAATGAATTAAGTATAAACACTTTAACAAAGTCACAAATATTAATTCTTGATCTTATGAATCAAATTCAAAATTCAGTATCTAAAAGAAAAGCTATTGAACAATACTTGAAAATAACTCCAAAAGAGAAGAGATCTTCTTTGTCTTAATCATTTTTTTTTTAAAAAAAAGGTTCTTAATTGATCTGAAAACTATGATAAATACATAAAATGAAGCTTCGTTGCAAGACCTTAAAGGAGAAGTGAATCAACTTAAAGTTGAAATAAAGACAATAAAATAAAGACTTTTGATACTAGAGAAAATGTCAATAAAAATGTCAATAAAGGATGAAAAAGATACAAAAGAGTTAAATTCTTCTAATGATATGTTAGAAAATATAATTTTAAAAAATGGTATGTTAAGATTATACTTGTAATAAACCTAGAATTCACTGTTAAAACAATTGCATTAATAGACAGTGGAGCAGATATGAACTGCATCAAAGAATGATTAAATTCTACAAAATATTTTGAGAAAAGAAATCGGTCATTAAGTATAGCTGATGGTTCAAA